TCTGTCAAAAAAAGATAAACCAACCAGTTCAGGCGACAAGTACCATAAGTGATTACCAAACTTGAGTGATGCAGCCTTTGATATCTCTGGATTAATCATGGAATACAGTAGCTAAGAAGTGATTTCAGTAGCATAAAGTCATTGTATGGTGCACTTGCTGCTAGAGGAGCTGTAATCCATGCCTTCAGGTACACACGTGCTGCAAACACGCACACATCTTGCAGACCCTTCTCCTCACTCTTTGTCAACTGGAACTGGCCTCGAAACATCCAAATCTTGAGACTGTAAATTACTTTCGACAGCCAGCGAGCGTGGTGTGTGGCTCCAGGTGCCGTGAATCGGACTCCTCTCACTGGTACAGATCCAAGAAAAATTACAACCAACTCCAAGAACTCCCTGTAGTCATCCCTTGCCAGACTCTCTGTCAGATATCTATTTGCGAAATCGATGGTACTGTCCTTGATGTCTTGCACTGATCTTGATACAGTATCGTCAGCCAAAATTCTGTTTTTGAAGGATTATTGATATGCGAAAGATGTTCAGCAGGTTACTGGTTGGTCACAGTGGTCAGTTACGAAATTAGTATAAAAACCAATATAAACCGAAATCTGCAAAATTTCAATGCAACTGAGCTACCAGTAAATAGTCACCAATTAACCTAATATTTTGCCTGAATTTTTTTTTCATATATACGAACAAAAGTAGGGTGGGCGAAGATGATATTTCCAAACTTCCAAAATTTGCACCACCCTAATGTTGAGCCTATTGTTTAATATTTTTTGAAGTTCAATTTTGTTTACATCCATTTTATTTATTGTTTTTGGTATTTATTCAAGTGCATTTTTTGTTAACAGAGACTGAGAGTCCATTGCTTTTATTGTTTTTGGTTGTTTTGTTCATTGTTATTGTGGATATTTAAAATGTTTTCATTTTCAGTGTTAAATAGTCTAAAAATAAACGTTTTTGAATTTTGAAAGGCGTATGTGTATTATTATGCCATTATCATTATTCTAGATGAAAATGGTCTCAGATCGACAATATTATCGTTTATCGCGATAATTTCTCGGACAATTTATCGTCCAGCAAAATTTGTTATCGTGACAGGCCTACTTTCGGTGCAGTATGTCTCAATATGAAATGGTTCCCAAATCACCTACACAATGTTCCTGGGAAGTTTGAAAAAGATCCATCAAATACTTTTAGCTGTTATTTGCTGTGTTCACAAAGGGTGTCTGCAGAAGATACTGAATCGAAGAAAAAAACAAATAAGCTTTGATTTATACATCAAGTGTCTTCTGCAGCTGCCCATTTGTTCCTTGCTAACATTTACTGCTGTTGCTTCAGTTTTGGTGTGCTATGTCTTTTTGTGAAGTGGTTATAAAATCCATCAAATACTTTTTGAGTTATCGTTTTAACTAGATAAGTATCCCAAAACCATATTTATTCTCGCTCTGGGGAATACAGTAATGAAGCCATTAAGGGTCTTACCATGCTTCCTCATGTCCCAGGTTTTGATTGTCAAATTGTTTCTCTTTTTGAGTATTGGTGAATGAATTTTCTAAATCATCTCTCCCCTCAAACACAGTGGGCAAGGAAGCTTTGGCAGCAGCATTTGTTACTGTTGAGAATAAGATAATAAAATCCATAAAGGCTTAAAAAGCTGCATATCCTTTTCATGATCTACAGAGAGCGCAGCTACAGAAGTGACTGAATGAAGTATACAAAGAAATCGACATTAAGCTACTACTAGGTTAAAAAAATAAAATATGAGAGATCAAGTGGGGAGGGGGTTTAAATTAATAAAAGGGTCAAGACAACGGGAAAACATGTAAACAGAGTCACCCCACTTTGCTTTTTCACAGGGGCCTTACTTGTTGGTGATACATCACTGCTTTGTTGGATTTGTGCCACTTGTGCCAAACTCGGAATCTGATTGCTCCGCTCCAGAGAAGGGTCCATAATATCTGTACCCCTACAATGCATTACTATGTTAAATAGTGTTATCCATGGATTTACATATTGAATCAAAATGTTCAAGG